AAAAACCCCGCGATTCCAGCCCTCATGCAATTTACAAGGAAGTGGGAGTCTATCAATTAAGTAATTCCACAAATGTAAGACAGCTACACCGAGGAGTGCTATGAACAGAGTTTCTAATAGAAACATTTGGCTTCATATGGAAAGAGAGGGAAGGCGTCCTTAAGGAACTGAAAGCGACATGGAAAGGAATTACCTAAACAAAAGGACACACCAGCATTCCAGGTACAGAGAGAGCCATGGGTAGAGGAACAGTGGTGTCAGGGAACATGTGACGGACGATGAGGGACTGAAAAAGGGTTTGGAAAGGTGCCAGGCCAAATGACTCTTGGAGGCCTTGTTTAAGGAGATCCTTTTGCTTTTCCTAAGAGCAATAGGTAGCCATTCAAAGTATATGAAGAAAGAGGGTAAAAATGATCAAGTATATATATATATATATATATATATATATATATATATATATATATATATATATATATATATATATATATATATATATATATATATATGTATATATATACATATATATATGTATATGTATATATGTGTATATATATATAAGTATATGTATAGATATAGATATAGATATATATTTTTTAAATCACTGTCTACTCAAAAAATAAAAACCTCAAATGATTAATTCTAGAATGGCTAGGGAGATAGGAAGAGCCCAGAGGCAGTAGGGCCAGGCAAAAGAAGGTGAGAGTGGTCCAGAAGTGAAATCATGCATACCTGAGGAAGGGTGTTGTACAGGGAAGCTGGCTGGGAGGCATATGGTTAGAGTAACATTACATATTGCCAGTGACTTGTTTAACTCTGCCTTTAAAACATAATTTAATTAAAACTTGACGTGACAGTAAAGGCTGGTTCAGGTTAGAATCATCAAGAGATGCTAACTCTATGGGAGGAACTGTGATGAGGAATTGTACATGATCTTAAAGTATCTCCCTGAAGATTGCTTATTAGTGTCTAATGAGTAAAGACACAGAAACAGTGGGAAGCCTTAACCAGGTGATCAAAACAAACAGCACCAGAAGGGGAAGATAGGCATTGTGTGCCTCTGGATGTGATAACCTGAGGACATAGCATCACTTCTGTAGCACAGAAGCTTGGAATGCATAATCCGAATATAACCATTAAGAAACATCAAATGTTTAAAGGAGAAACATTTTATTTAAAGGGGAGGGCTGTATTACTAAAAAAAAAAAATCAATATCATAAATACAAAGAAAGGCTGAGGAACTCTGAACGGAAACTAAAGACACATGATGTATTAGTTTCCATGAACTTATTGGACTTAAAACACCACAGATTTATCATTTTATAGTTCTTGAGGCCAGGCGTGTAAAACAGGTCTCACTAGGCTCAAGTCAAGGTGTTCGTTCAGTGGGGCTGTTTCCTTTAGAGGCTCCGCAGAAGAATCCTTTTCCAGCCTTTAGAGGCCACCTGCATTCCTTGGCTGTGGCCCCTTCCTCCACCTTCAAAGCCAGCAACATAATATTTTCAAATCACTCTCTCTGGCTGTGACACTCCTGCCTCCCTCTTATAAGAATTCATGCGATTAGACTGGGCCCACGTGGATAACCCAGGCTACTCTCCCCATCTCAAAATCCTTAACTTAATTACTTCTGCAGAGTCCCTTTTACCGTGTCAGGTAATATATTCACAGCACAAGACACCTTTGGGGAGCCATTATTCTGCCTATCACACTTGATATAAGAATGAAAACCATGATCCTAGATTGGTTCATGTATTGGAAGAAAAGAAATGCTCCCCCCCCCCCAAAAAAAAGGGTTAGTAAAACTGAAATACAGCCAGTAGGTTAAAGTGGTTTAGTTATTCCTACACTTATTGAAACTGACAACCACGCTGTGTTTTATGTAAGTGAAAATCCTTTACTGAGGAAATACACACTGAAGTATTTCGGGTAAACAGACATTATGTATACAACTTACAAGGTTTAGAAAAATAATAAACACATGTGCAAGGGAAGCAAGCATTTAGAAAAGCAAGCAAGACCAAGTGTTAAAAATAGATGAATCTGGATTAAAGAGTATATGAGTGTTTTACAACTTTTCTGTAAATCTGAAATTATTTCCAAATAACTTAAAACTGATGACTATCTAATTTATTTTAATTAAAAACTAATAGTGTTTTTTACTCAAATACCACAAGGCATTCATAATTTAGATAATTTACACATATGAAAATGACTGCAGATGTGTGGCACAAAGTCAGCAACTCAATTTTTGTTCTTTCTTCCGTAACAATACTAGTAAACAGATAGGTTCAGAACTGGTTAGGATTTTTAAGGTTAGGAACTTAAAGGAAATCTTAAAGAGTCTGGCAATATTATAGCTTCAAGGTGTTTAAAATAGAATCGGTAATTATCCTCAGATTTAAAGATCAACTGGTTGATCACACCCTGCTATTTGTGAGAGAGAACCTAGTAGGTAATGTTCTAAGAAGGCCCTTAGAAAAGTAGCCTCTCGTTTTCAGGAGTGTTTATCTGATTTTTTGAAAACAGAAAACATAAAGTGTATTCTATTCTAGAGCTTTCTTCTGCCCGGTACCTCAGGCAGAATTTTATTGCTTTGGCCACAGAGAATTTTTCTGGTACCCATATGGACGCCCACTCCACCCATTATTGTTTAAGGACAAAAGAAAGGGCAGCTGGGACGCTGAGCACTGATGAATAAATCAGGGGCCGGGCCACTGGGAAACTCCTCTGATCTTGGCAGACGCTACCATTTTAAAATAAAGGTGAAACAAAGCCTAAGACCTCATTTCTGCCCAAAGCCCTGTGCACGGGCTTATTTTTCCTGCCAATTGTGGTAGCCAAGAACAGAATTATTCCGTTGTGCCAGGACGGTGTGCCAAGATCAAATAATAGTGGACTTTTCCCAATTACAGAAACAAGAAAAAATGTGTGGCAATGAATCGGCTTTATTTTTACACGGTTGGCTCCTGCTATCACCAGCCAATGCTGCAAATCTGTGATTTAGCACAATCTAGGATTACACCAGCACACAATAATCTATTTCATTATTTTCAGTTTAACGCTTGTTTTTCAAAGAGCTGCATGATTTCTTGGAGTGACTTTGGCAATCAGGCCTAAAGTGCTTCTACAGTCCAGAGCAAGGTGCATCTTTATTACTTAGATGCTTCACTCAGAGCACTGTCCCTCACTAGTGTCATTATTTAGAGAACCACATTCTGTTACCCAGGGTCAAGTCACAGGACTGAGGTTTCTTTTTGAGACTCCCACTCTAGTTGTATAACGTCGGGCAAAATACTTCCGGGTTGTAAGCCTCAGTGTGTCATTTGCAAAACAGGCATCACCTTAGCTATCCTGCCTTCCTCACAGGGTTTTTCTCATCACCCAAGGAAATAAATATGTGAACTCATTTTGAAAAAGTCCACACAATTTCTCCCCAGTTGTTATTAAAGTTTTTGAACACAAGGCTAAATTGACATGGGCTTGTTTCTTAAAGTGTCTGGTGAAGTGCTGTTTCCATAGTTTTTCCTAAACAAATACTTGCTGCCTAGTGATCGAATGGTTAGGTTATTTAACTTTCAGGCTGCTGTAGTTTTTACATTCCTATTTCCAGAGAGCTCTCCCTAATTCAATAGGCTGGACATTGACCTAGATTTGAGGATACCTGGTTCAGCATGAAGGTACATGTTCAAAAGAGTTCTAAGGAACTTTAGATAGTTCATGCCAAAAGCCTTACTTTACTAATGAAGAGAAATATGCCCTTGACATTCTCTTTAAATTATAACCTTGTAGTCTTTTTGAAAGACTTTTTAAGCACAAGCACTTAGTGATGTGCTTAACACACTTAAACTGGTAATAATTTTGATGGACTCATCCACGGAAATTACCCAAAGCCTAGACAACTTGCACAAAGTGGATGTGTAATAAGTATTTGATTAATTAAGGAAAGATGTCAGCTTGCACAGTAGAGTAACCCAAATGGTTTTTCATCAACTGAACACAGTACAGTCATTAAAATGAAATGACATGGAGCAACACGTTATATGTCAAAGGCACGTTGCAACATATGAGCAAGTTGCAAAGTGGCATATGCAGTGTAAGAGCATTAACATATGAAAGTATGCAAAAAAATATAATATCTGATGTATGGATGCATGGTTTGCAGTAAAACTGTAAGAGCATGAGGGGGCTGTGTGCTGTGTTGCTAGACACTGCTTCAGAGGGGGCTATCCTCATGCTCGTTTTTAGCTAAGTCCTAAAACCATGCATTGGAATGAAAAATTCCAGCTCAGAATACTTGTTCCTAAGAGACCCATTGTCCCTAAGAGACAAAGTAGGGCCTAATGGAGATAGAAAAGGGGCATACAGGGTAGTTATATTTATACTGTTTCATTATTTAAAAATATATTTGAAGCAAATGCTGCATAGTGGTAAGGTTTGACAAGCTACGTGATGGGTACACTGGCATTACATTATTCCCTACATTTGAAATATTTCTTCATATATGAATTCTGATAACATGTAATGAGAAAAATAATTAAAATTTCTTGGTTGCAGTAATAAAGGAGTATTATAGTCATAACCTCATATTTTTATTGTAAACATCTAAGAATCACACTGCTAATAAGTTCTGAGATAAAATATTCTGTGTTCTCAAATCAAATTAAATTTTCAGATTTTTTAAAAAACGTATATAACTTCACACTCAGGCCTTTTTGGGGAGAGGCTAAAGGAAAAAGAGAAATCTGTGGCTAGCTCTAAGGAAGATAATCTTATTTACTTTGGGAGGACAGCTCTAGGATACATGTGCTAAAATGTTCACCCATAACTAAAGTTTAGCAGTTGTTTAAGGAATAAAACTATGCAAGTCAAATTCCAGAGATACCTTCTGCAAATTCTGACAATTAGCAAACTCCTAAATGGCAGATAATTTCCTTTCTTCATACAATGATCCCATCTCTTATCAGCTACTAAAATGAAACTCAGAAATATACAGTTTACATACCAAAAGGTCCATTCCAGGGACATATTTGAGTGCTATCTTATAGTCTTTTGGAAGATTTGCCACCTACAAAGACCAAAAAAGGGAAAAAGAAAATTGTTAAGAAAATCCATACATATCAATTAATCATATTATTTTTAGTAGTTTGGAGAAAAACCATGCAAACCTGTTATGTTTTTAAGTTACCACAGAATTTAAATATTTACATATAGTGATTATTCATTCTTGATTTCCCTTTGCAGTCAAAGGCAATCGCCAAAAATAAAGTAAGTGATAGTACAACTCTTTTGGACTCCAAATTCAGTTACGGGTGGCAAAGTACCTAACATGTAGAGTTTTAGAAACATGATCTGAATTTCAATTTCCATCTGTGATCTTGGAATTCCCTTCCAGGATGACTTTCTCACTTGTTCCTCTAAAGAATCAGGAATATAAAATATTTTTCTTGTCATAGCACCTAAATGGTTCTCAAAGCGATATATCAACATCACCAGGGAACCTATTAGAAATGCAAATTCTCGGGTCCCACCAGACCTACAGAATCTTACTCAACAAGTTCCCAGGTCATTCTGACGAGTGCTCAGGTTTGAGAACTACTGTTCCATGTAGTTCTTAGAGAAAAAAAAAAGTCAGTGAAAGTTCAAAAGAACAATGCTACTTATGGAATGAAGATGCTTTCTAACTTAAATAATTCAGAAAAAATCAGCTCTGTGACATAACTTAATCCATTTACCTAGGGCTGGACATCTGAGGTGCCTCCCATGTTTACCTAGTTTCTTTTTAAAGGCTTTAAAACCATATCTAACACATTTCCGTCAGTCATTTCGGCATAAATTGAACAAGCACCTGACATGGAACCAGGGAATTTGTAACAAATCTGAACTCTGTATTTTGGTTTCTCTCATGGTAAAATGCAGGTCAAATAGTCACAAATTGAGTTAAGTGAATGTGTCAAGCATATTATAAACACTCAGACCATATTGACAGCTCTACTGGCAACTGATTTCCAAGGCATACAGAGTTCCAGTTTCTCTCATATCCTTTCCTACCCATAGCACTGCCTCTCTCATCCCACCCTCCTAGCGCCATTAAAATTTCCATCTGAATAATATTGCCAACAATTTTTTTAGCCCATGGGGTCTTAAAACAATGCATAATGTAAAACAGCGGTTTGGCACTATTACATTCTCGATGGATCTACTTTGCTTTTGCAGACTTATCTCCCCCTCATCCTGTCTCTAAAATCTTTACTGTTCCCCATAATAAGCTGAGATCTCTCTTTTCTGGACTAGATCATCTCTGACAAGCCTCCCACAGCACAATCCATGTTTGCGCTTGGCCTTGCCAACAGCTTCTAGAATCTGAGAACAACGTGGTGAGAAAAGAATCCAGGCCAAGGCATTAGGACAGTTGACCCTTGAACAAAGCAGGGATTTGGAGTACAGACCCTGACAAGGCTAAAAATCCATGTATAACTACTGGTCAGCCCTCTACATACCCAGATTCCCAACCATGGATTTAAAATAAGGAGTCAAAGAGGAGCCAAGGAAGTAACTGATCCCATTGTGATCACTACCATTGTACCTCCAGTGGTACCAGCTCATACTCACCCATCTCAGCCTGGAGCCTAACACTTAGCACATCCTTACTATGTGCTAGACACTGTGCTCATTAATGGCTTACGTTGCACGATCGCGTCTCGTCCTCAGATTCCTGTCATATATTATCTCAATTTGACAGATGAATAACTTGAGGCTCAAAGAGGTGAAGGGACTTGACCAAGGTCACACAACTACTATGTGTTACATCGGCACTAGCACTCAGGTCTCTAACAGCAGAGACCCCCTGCCCTCTTAGCTCTACCACATGTTTTCATCTGCTCTCTGCACACTTGTCCTGGGAATTCTCCACTTGTGAGGCTCACCATCATCCCTCCTCATGCCATCCCCGGCAAATTAATCAAATAGTAGAATCCTTGCTGCTTACTGAAAACACATCTGGGCTGCCACAGAAAGTGGTATTGTTTTTATTTTTTATTTAGAGATTATACTCTTGCTCTTTACACTTAACTGTCTTTCTCTCAGTCAGACTTCCCATCCTGCCTCCATCATTTCTGTTGTCTTTTGAATCTTAATCTTTGAAAAGCACAATGACCTAGTTGTTTTATGTAAGCCCTGGTGGCAAAGACGCAGCTGACACCTTTGCAGATGTCAGAGCCGAAATCAGAAGGAGCAGCAACGTTCTAGTTCATTACCAGCCATGCAAATTAAAGCCATTCCAGATGGAGAAGCATGGGGAGAAACAGCACCTGTTCTGAACACAAGCTGCTTCCCCATCTAGCCCTTCTTTTAAGCATAACTTACATAATCAAAAAAATAAATATGAAACTGATCAAATTAGTATTCAGAAAGCTTAGGATCTGATTATATACACCTAAAGAGCAGAGAAAATGGAAGGAAAATCTTGGCCAATTTTATTAGTAACGTATATACAAAAATTGGTTCAAAGAAATAAAAAAAACCTTATAAAAAAAAGTTCTCTCACCAACACACTGAAATCTCCACGCCTTACCACTTAGAGGGTGGGTGTATAATAAAATAATTTCTGCATTAAACTGACTTATTGACATTCCGCCTGATGGGACTGAAAAGTAATACTATTTTTGCAAAATGCTTTACAGTTTAAACAAGTTGTAACAGACAGCCTCTATCACAATCCCGCAAGATATGTACTATTGAGCCTATTTTACAGATGGAGACATGGAGGCTCGGAGACGTGAACTGGCGTATCAGGCGTTCCTACTGGAGGTAGAATGCAAACCCTGGCTCTGTGTGCTGCGCTCTGAACAGTTAGCCTCAGAGCAGTCTCTCTCCCTTTTACTACTACCTTGGCTTGCATTGGTTCCTTTCCAATTACATTTGGAAGAGAATTTAGAAAGTCAAGTTGTACATTTTTGTGGTCGGTTCATGAATTATTATATTACTTTCTAAGCAGTTATGGTATGTTGAATAGCATTCAGAAAGCACAGATAACCTTGTGATAAATCCAGCTTCTCTGATGGATACGGATCACGTTGGGAAGTCTAATAGAGCAGAGGGAGTCTTTGGCCTGGAACTTGGAAGATATTCCTTTGAGGCAGTTAGTTTGTTGTAGGAGTCACAGCACAAGTTCTGTGGACACACAGCTGAGGCTGGACCCAGGCCCTGCCATGGGCTAATTCAGAGCTCTTAGGCAAGTAACTTGATCGACTTTAGCTTCAATCTCCACATGTGTAAAATGGGAATCAGAATCTAGCTAGTGGATTTATAAAGACTGAACAAGAATTAAATAGCACATTTAAAATACTCTGTGCTTCAGCATGGTGTGTGAATGAGTATATGCTTATTAGTACTGATTGCAGGGGAGTGGGCCATTAGACTAGACAGAGGAAGGGTCATATAAAAAGACAAAGAAGGGCCGGCCGAGTGGCGCGATGGTTAAGAACTGGCTTGGGACCCAGAGGGCCCCAGTTCGGATCCCACATATGAGGGCGAGTGACGCTGCCCTCTACAGCTAAGATGCTGAACAACAGCTCAACCTGGAGCTGGGCTGCCATGAGTCGCCGGCGACGGCGTAGGCTGCAGCCCCTGTGGCAGTGGGTTGCCATGGGCTACCGTGTGTAGTTAGCAGCCAGCGTGAGCGGCCCTCAAGACGCCATGAGCGGCCGTCCAGAAGCCGTCGACTGATCTGCCTCGCCGGGGAAGAGCGCAATGATGGTGCCAGCTCGGGCCAGTGAAGCAACGTCCTCCACAACTAGACTGAAGAACAAAAGGACAGGAACTTGTCTGTTCCCCTTTCCCCAATTCCCCAGTGCTGTTCCCATCCCCCTAATTCCCCAATAAAAATCTTAAAAAAAATAAATAAATAAAAATAAAAAAAAATAAAAAGACAAAGAAATGGAAAAGCACATTGTGTCTTTGGGAGACCGGGGACAGAAAAATCAGGCTCTCACAGATAAGAGGTAAGAAATGCGCCAGGAAAGCCACATTAGAGAGGGCCCTGAATGTGGGGCTTTGGTTGGCCCAATGGCAGGCAGCGACATTTCAGTGGGGCCAGTTCTACCACCAGGACCCCACAGCAAATCACTTCTGCCTTAGGCACGTCACGTCCTCTCTGGGGAACTTCCACTCCTTGTCTGTAAAATGAAGAGGGTGAACTAGATAATTACTAAACATTCAGTCTGATTGAACTGCTCATGTAAGTTGGAGGGCTACACTGAATGTTTAGTTTAAGAGGGAACAGGACAGTAGTTTAAGATGAGTCTAGAAGGATGGAGTGGGGCAAGGAGAGAACAAAGGAAGGGAACAGTATAGAAGACCGCTAGGAAAGTGCTGAACAGCGTTCAATAGCTATACAGAGACTGAAAGTTGAAAAAGCAGAAATGTGATTTAGATTCCAGAGAAGTATCCCATTGGTAGGTTAAGTGGATAAGTAATGAAGGCTACAGATTTTTAAAAACAAATCTAGTAAAATAAGTTCAGGGCAAAAATAATAAATGGAACGGAACCTAACTGATGGAAAATATTACCAAAGGCCAAATTATCCCAATGAGCTTTGCGGTTTGTACAGGTTATCAATACTATGCCAGGTTGTAAAATTCATAAAACTTCAAAAACAAGTCACTTAGTGAGGGGCTCACTTTACTAAGTAGGTCCATTTACTGTCTTTTTTGGATGTCTTAAGGCTTGACCATACTCAGTGACACCGGGGGGAGGGGAGCATAAGGGAACAGCATGCCAAAAGGCTGGATACTCAGCCAGGAAAAAGCGCTTTGCAAGCCACATGGGTGCTGGCTGCATACCATACTCTGCAGGTATCTGGACGCAGGAGAAAATGAACTCAAAGTCAGAATAGTTATCTCCCTCCTTAGATCATGGATCTAAAAAAAACTTTGAATCTCATGATTCAAATGTCACTGAGGTCCCCAAATGTCAGAAATCACTGGTAGCTTGGAAATCCTTGGCAAGACACTTATTTGTCTCAATGGTGTCTCCCAAGTTCTAGGTAAGAATCAAAATGCAATAAGTAGTAGCTTATGATTCCCTTGACATTGTACATAAAATGGGGTGTACATGTGAACCTTTCTGGGGAAAGAGTCCAGTTTTCAGAGTCTCATCAGATCCAGAGAAGTTTATGAATCACTGATGTAGGAGGGGTAAACAAAACAAAACAAAACAACTCTACTCTTGTATTTAAATAACACAGCTCATTCATGTACAACAGCTCAGTGCGAAGTTGGTTGTTCAGTATTCAGAAATACCATAGGAGAGAGCTTTTTGCTTTTTCATTTCTTCTTATACGTGATCTTCTATTAATATTGACTAAAAACATAAGTAACCAGGTCAATTTCCTTCAGTTTTCAAAGCTGTTTTTTTAATAGCTCAATTAATCATTAAAAATTAAATATTAGATGACAATGTCATGAGACTTTTGTGAGTCACCTTTTCTCAGTAAAAAATACCTAAAAATAGTTAGATGGCCTTTGTGTTCTTTCAAATAGAAGGGATAAAAATTTTTTTTGTCTATTTCACAGGCATACCTTATGATGATGATTTCAAATAAATAGTATCAATTGAACTTCTACAGCATGATTGCTTCCTAACCACAAGATAAGATAACAACTACCTAGGAAATAAAATTCAAGAGGTTACAGTGATAAGTCTCAAACTGCATTTGACATTTACATCTTAAATTAAGACCTCATATATTCTGAACTGGGTTCTTGTGCTCCAGACACAGGTAGTTATGGGTTCAAACCTCTATTTTTGCTTCCTATTTCCAATAGAGGATGGTCAGGTTATATGATCACTAGCCTCAGCTTCCTAACCAATAAACTGGGGGTAAAAAAAATTACCTCCTAGGGTTGCAAAGATTAAAGGAAAGAATCCATACAAAGTGCTTGGATACTCACACAATAACCACTGCTTTAATTACTCAAGGAGCAGGAGACATAGAACCTAAATAGTTTATCCCATAAAGAACAAACAAAGTTTTCTTCATGATCAGATCGACATGTTTGGTTAGATAGCAAGCCATCTAGTTGTCAGTTCTCACAAATATTATTTCCAATACACTTCTGTCCTTAGAATACTGAAATTCCTAAATTTAGTTTTGAATAGAGAAATAAATGTCTAGTGACTGCAGGAGCAGAAATTAAAATGGTAACCATTGCAAACTTAATAAAAATGAACTTTGAAAACACTCCAACTATGAACTCATTGTTCTTCAAGGGTCAAACAATGAGACCTCTGCTTTTAAAGAGAGGATATGCTTAGAAAAGCTTAGAATTCACCTAGAAATGGGAAGACTCAGAGATTCCAGTCCTCCATTTTAATGCAGTGATAATTCTATTTGAAGAAAATTGTATTTGAAGAAGAATAAAAATCAGAATTATTCAAAACTATTCATTCAAAGTGTGAAAATGTGTTATCTGAGGCTATTTTTATAAGCTTCCATATGTTAAACTCCAAGAGTCATATAATATGAATATCACCTACTTAAAATAAGTGCCTAACTCAAGACCAGGAAAACTATGAATTCTTCAGTTTTATTCTATTCTACTGATTTGTACCCTGACCTTAAAGAGACTGAGTAATTTCACCTTCACAAGATGGGGCTGGGATAGCCACCTGTCTTAAAATATTTTTTTGAGAAAGACAAATAATTACTCAACAGAAATTTAAACATTAAAAGGTTTTTAAAAGGCAACAGAGTCACATTTAATTAAATTGCCCCAGATGAAGGAAAAACATCATCACAAATGAAGAGAACAGTAGAAAGAAGAAACATGGAAACTAATTTGAAGTATTTCAATATTTGGGTTCCTCCTTACATTAACAATTACAACCATTAAAAGCTGCAGCCTAACTGTACTCTAGATACAAGTTTTTAAAGTTTGATTCATCCTTTTTCCAGATACTTGACCCTTCCTTTAGGTAGGTCTGAGGTTGCCATTTAAAACAAGTCTTGCAACATTTTTTTAGAAACAAAGCAAAATGTTCTGTAAATAGATGAACTATTATATTGAGTAAACATGCCTGAAGGATTTCAAATGAAAACCATGGGGACGGTAGGGGCAGGACAAAGTGTTCAAGAAGAAACTTAAGAAAGAAAATGACAGTACAGTCATAAGTCATGTGCTTCTGTGACATGAGAATCACCCCAAGAAACAAATTTAAGATTTGTGGACACAGTAAAAGTTGCCACCTAATGTAAAGGTAAAACTGGCAGAGCCTGCAAAGGAATGATTTTAGTTGAAGAAATTACTGTGAGCACAAGGCAAGGACGTACTATCCACCCACTTTCTTTCTCTGAACTAAAACATACCAAGGTTATGTCTGCAAAGCAAGTCCCTCTCATTCTATTGTACATAACCTCCTTTCGTCAAGACATTGCTGAATTATCCAAAAAGACGCAACCTATTGAAGTATCGTTATTGAATAAAAGAATTTCAGAGCTAAAAAGCACTTCCAAAGTTATGTAATTTAGTAGTTCTTATCATTTTGGGGAGCCACAGACTTCTCTGGGAAGCGGATGAAAGCTCAGCACCTCCTTCCAAGAAATGCACATAAAGCATAATTTGGAGTTGTGTCTTGCAAAGGTTGGAAGTTTACAAATCCTAGATTAAGAACTATTGATCATGTCCTTGTTCTTCATTTTAAAAACCAAGGAATTATATTTTAGTGTCAATATTAATAAGCATCCCTGTCTAGGCACTTCTTTCTCTTTAGCGCTTCTTGCCATTTTTCATTATATCAGCTGATAGGTAACAGACTGAAAATAAGCAAATGGTTAAAGACAAGAATGGAAAAATCTTGGACAGTGCTTATAATACCTACTTATACCATGTGAAAATATCGGTTTGACCTTTCCCAGGAAGTGGTAATCATTAAGTAGTATTCCTCAAACACTTAGCAAACAATAACAGCTACAGGTAATTTTTCTTAAACACTATGTTAATTTTGGATATGCTTGGCCTATGGTCAGAGGCACCATTACTTTCAACTATGATTCATTGCCCATAGATTTGATTTTTTTTTTTTTAAGCTGAGCCATCCTGCCACCTGTTGGCAGCTCAGCAGCAACTCAGCTCGGGCCGGGAATAGAACCGCTGTTCCTCAGAGCTAGCACTCTTGAGCGAGCTCTTAACCAATTGAGCCACTCGGCCGGCCATTGCCCATAAATTTGAAATTTGCTCCCTAGGACCACTGCAGATTGGCCTGGCTTGTTCTCAGCTCCACCGTTACACCAGCAGCCCCATGAAAGCTCTAACTACCCAATTGTGACTCACTTTAAGCATATTTTGGAGGACCTGTATTAAAATGACATCCATGTAAATCTATACAACATAGATAAAACTAATCATAATAACAATCGAGATTAAATAGGGGTCAAGACACTTTGGCCTCTAAAGTTTGACTCAATAGACCATCTAGAGCAGTTGTTCTTAAACCTCCTTTCGGAAATGCCTTAAAAATGTAGATGCCCGGAGCCCTTCCTCAGACATATTGCATCAGGAGGGCCCAGACACCTGTGATTTTAATAAGCACGGCAGGTGATTCGGATTCTCAGACACGGTCGGTGGACCACACCCTTTTTTCATTCATAAAACAAACTAACAAGTGCCTTCTACCGATACAAAATTTAGAATATAAATGTATATATTTTCTTTTTAATATAGTTTCTTGGGTCACAAACTAATAAGCAACTCGAGAAAAAGGACCATGATCTATGTTTAAAAAAAAAAATAACACTTGCCCCTCACCCCCATCCCTGTACCAATACCTCGCTGGGCATAGAGTAGGCAAATGTTTCACTGCTTTGGGCACCAGCCCTTCAAATAAAATGTGAATATACTTTCAGGTATCACATCAGAGAATACTTTTAAACCTGCAGCCTCTGGGTGTCCTTCGAAGGAATCTGCATACATTGTGGGGGGTAGGTGGGTGTGTATGTTCCTAATTCTGCACTGAGGTTAAACTATTGTAGCAAAGCTCCCACCATAGCATTAAACTTCTGTTTCTAAGTTCAGCCAGGAACCCAAAATGAGACATATAAACCAGGAAATGTGTATTGAGAGTAGGAAAGATAAATATATCAACAGGTACTCTTTTCTTTTTCTACATATCACAACACTCATTTCTTTCCTATTCTCACACCACCTCTGTTCTCTAGACAATATTCCAATAACTGAGTGCCACTTGGTTATTTTGAACAGCGAACTTACAAAAATGCCTCTCAAATGTTGTTCATTCTGCAATTACACTCTGCAGCTCTAATGAACGTTAAAGCTTCCCTAGGTGTTGAGAGTTGGGAACAATGCGTTCCAGATGTTGTGTTATGCCCTCTGTCCCTGTGGTCTGCATTTTAAGAGAAGTGTGGCACACAGCCAGGGAAGAGTTCCAATGTGACGAATGTGGGAGATGAGTCTGGTCAACATTTGGGCAACAAATCACTCCTCCAACTATATTCCCTGAGGGAGCAAACACGCACCCACATGGGACAAGGTCTGAGAGGGTTGGCAAGGGGAAAATGGCCATCTCAGAGCTCCTTTTGTTAGGCTTGTTAGAAAAGAGTAAGAAGGCATATGGAGGGGAAATAAAACAGGCTGAGGAACCCACTAGAGAGATAATGGGGAACAAACTAATTCTAGCACATCAGCACACAGAGAACTCTCTGGTGTTCTTCTGTGACTGTGACAGAGATGAGAAGACCAGCAAAGAAACAAAAGTCACTGCAGTGGTGTGCCATAGGCCAATTTTACCGACAAATGCTCTATGACCTTAAATATCTCCCTACCTGCTCTTTCTATAAGCTCTTTAAGATAACTCAATGATTTCTTTCCTTGTCTTAGAAAAATACCAATTTGGGGTAAGAAAAAAAATAAAATATTTTTCAGAAAACACAAGAAACAGAGTCACAGTTATTGAAAGCATTCCTTACTCACCAATTTTGTAACGTCTTTCACATCATCAGTTATACGGTTCATGCAGATCCCTGTAGTGCTGACGAAAGGGTTAAATAGGAGCAGTTGTAGATAAATGCAAGTGATAATCCAAGTCTAAATGAAAAGAGAAAAACTGCTGGTGACCATCAATTAAAATCTGTAATTACTTAAACTATTAACATCTTTTGCTTAACGTGGAACATGCAATTTTCCAAATTTTTTTTGGTAATGCTACTGGCTTAAATACAATTAAATGCTGAGCATTCAAACTGTGTTGACCAAAGTTTATAAAAATTCTCAGTGAAATGTGGTTTGGATTTTTCATGTCAATGACATTATTGTTAACTTTTGTCCCAAAGCGTTCTACAGTCAATTTCCTAACGGTCATTAGGAATGAAACTGTAGCAACATGTAAGGGATGTATCACTCGAAGTGGTTTCTAAAAGCTAGGGAATACATTAAATTAATACCTTAAGGTACCAAATGAAACTTTCTCTGCTTTAAATGTGGACTCTTTGGCAAGTAGCAGCATAAGCGTGAGCAGTGCTTTCATGCAGTAGTCCACAGCAGTACACCAAGATAAAGTGAGGGAGAGAGATACATTTTTAGATCTGGAATAAAATTTAACCTTATCTGTGAGACATTAAAAAAAAATCATAGTTTTGAATTATAGCTTTTTAGCTATTAATAAGAAAAAATATTTCCTTCAGTCAATAAGAAGACATTCTTGAATTGGTAGCATGAAGTAATTTCACACACACACATGCATACCTCTCTTTGAAAGGAACACTTTCAAACATTATCATTACTTTTATGCATGACATTTTTTTTATTACACTATATTTTAGGTTTTTAAGAAATCGGGCATCTGATCTTTTTCAGTAGCTTCACAACATATGACACAGCACCTTGCATATAAAAAGCCATAAATAAATAAATAAATAAATAAATAAATAAATAAATAAATAAATAAATAAATAAATAAATGAAATGTTAATAAAAGTTGACATGGAAGGGACGATAATTTCAGAAAAAATAAACATAAGCAAAGACAGGGAGCTATGAAGATATTTTAAAACATGAGTTCTTTTATGAGTTAATGGCATCTCGGATGAATCAGCGACCAAGATAAAAATAGCCCAATGCTTCAAACTCAATACCTACTTATTGAACATGTATTATGAGTGCCAGTCACTAGAGTAACCAAGGTGATGAAAATGCCCTTGAAACTCATAGGCAGGTAAATAAATCACACCTGTACCCTGTGATAAATACTTTGAAAACACAAAGGAGGAAACAATTAGTCAATTAATCTTAAAAGGGAGAACCCATGGCAGGAAGACAGTGCCATGGAAAACCAGGGAGAAAATGTGACTCTGGTTAGATTTTGGAGGACAAGGATAAGTTTGCAAGAGTTGACATGAAAGGGAAGATAATTCCAGGAAGAATAAACTGCATGAGCAAAGACATGGAAATGTGAAGATGTTTGAAAATGTAAGAGTTCTTTTATGAGTTATCATGTGTTAGCATCTTAAAATTACATAAAAGCCCATCTGCACAGGGCTAAAAAATCTTTCCTATTTATGTAGCTAACCGTGTATTAAAGGGACTGGATTGTTATTATTATTATTATTATTATTATTATTATTTTAAGATTTTTATTGGGGAATTGGGGGGATGGGAACAGCATTGGGGTATTGGGGGAAGGGGAACAGTGCTGGGGAATTGGGGGAAGGGGAACAGACAAGTTCCTGTCTTTTTGTTCTTCAGTCCAGTTGTGGAGGATGTTGCTTCACTGGCCCAAGTTGGCACCATCATTGCGCTCTTCCCGGGTGAGGCAGATCAGTCGTCGGCTTCTGGATGGCCGCTCACTGCGGCTGCTGGCCGCTCACGCTGGCTGCTGGCTACACACGGTAGCCCATGGCAACCCACTGCAGCAGGGGCTGCAGCCTACGCTGTCGCCGGCGACTCATGGCAGCCCAGCTCCAGGTTGAGCTGTTGTTCAGCATCTTAGCTGTAGAGGGCAGCGTCACTCGCCCTCATATGTGGGATCCGAACCGGGGCCCTCTGGCGTCCCAAGCCAGTTCTTAACCATTGTGCCACTCGGCCGGCTCTGGATTATTATTTTTAATTAATATCTGCAAGCTAACTAGATTATTACTCTGGAACAAATGATAATTATGTACTAACATTTCTAAGACTATAGTGCTACCTACATCAATAATAGTGGCCTGTAAACAAAGTTAAAACCCTTTTGCTATTTTACTATTGTGATATTTTTACCAGAATTCCTGCTTAATTTTGTTTAAGGCTACTTTGAGCATTGTGGGGTCACACTCTTCATAGCACTGTTTCCCTTGGACCTAAATGAAGACTAAATTGTGTAAAGGATTTCTGTTTGGGGGATTCTTCTTTTTGGACAATGCCAATATATAAATTCTCCTCTAATATATGTAAATATAATTGATTAAACTCAAGCTTTCTTTTATATTGTCCTTTCTAAGACCTAACCCCTTCCGTTGAATTATATTTCTCCAAGATCCCCTTTCGTGATATGATTTGGGAATTCTCCCTGAGGATTTCTGTAAATGACCCATCTTATTAACAACCATATTCATATTCTAGGTTCTAAGAAACATAAAGGTGGAAATTCTGTTAATTTTCTTCATCCCTTATTCCTGACATTGAAGAAACACTAAACATTTGTTCACTCATTCATTCATTCATAAAATATTTATTGAGCACCTAGTGTATGCCAGGCACTGTTCTACATGCTTAGGATATACAGAGGGTGCCAAAAAATGTATACACATTTTAAGGAAAACTGGTTTCAAAAAAATTGTAATAATATATACTGATAATAAAAGATGAATATAAGTCACTTTTGACTTCTGCAATCACAAGAGGTGTTCAAAGTGGTTACCATCAGTGTCCAGACACTTCTGATTATGGCGAACTACTGCTTGAGCAACACTGACCAAAGTGTCCACTTATATACATTTTTTTGCCACCCCCAGTATTAGTAAAAAAAAAAAAAGCGGGAGCCAAAAATCCCTGCCCTCATGAGGCTTATCTTCTAGTGAGGAAGGTAGACCATAACCAATACACATAATAAAGTAACTAGATTATACAGAATGTCACAAGCTGTTAAGTGTCATGGAAAAAACAAAATTAGATCAAGGTAAAGGAATTTGGGATTATAAGGCCTATTTTGCTTTACCAGCAGTCATGCTCTCAGGTTCAAGTTGACAGTCACACTCATGAGGCATTGGAGACTTCACCAGCACCACGTGTACTACTGAGCTTCAAGAAGGGATGCAGGGCAGGCAGAAAAAGGGCATGCGCAGCACCAGCGGAGCAGAGGTCTCGCGACTCCCAGGCAGTGTGTCAAGTCCGCATATCACTGCGCACTTGGGACGTATGTGGTAATGACAGATGATGCTGGATACCTGGCTAGTTGAGTAGACCCTTCAGGGACATGGGATGGGCTTCCGTTCATTTGCCATCACAGCTACCTCCACCAGAATCAGTCTCAACAATAAAGTACATACAGGTGTCTCTTGTGCTATCTAGAAACTTCAGCAGGATGCTAATGAAGTACAGCTATACTCCTATAAATCGCCTGAGTTCTTGTTGCACGGAGGATGATAGAGAGGGTCAAATCCCCAGTCTAGAGAAAAGGCAGCAGAACTAGCTGTTACGACCACCTCTCTTTCCAGAGACTGCAGTATGTGGGGAAACAGCTTGAAATGTTAAACAGGATGATACTTGGGGGTACCTCAGTGAGAAGGCATGATTTTATCAAAGACTGCATGGAGCTAGGGGAGTGATCCTTACAGACACCTGTGAGAAGGGTATTGCAGACAGAGAGAAAAGGGGGTGCAAAGGCTCTAAGGTCTATTAAGAAGTCCACTTTACTTGAGGAACCGCAAGTGTAAACTGTGGGCAGAAGATGAGGATGTCAGAGAAAGAATGGGGAGGCCAGATCACGCAGGGTCTTGTGCACCATTGTCTGGCCTTTTGGCCTTTGCTATGAATGAAACAGGGTTCATTGCATGATTCTGAGCAGAGGACAGTTATGAACATATTTTAAAACTTTTGTAAAAATCTATTTGTTTGGTGGTTTCTTATAAAACTTAACATATACCACGGAGCTGAAAACGTGTGTCCACACAAAAACCTGCACACTGATTTTTTAGCAGCTTATTCATCATTACCAAAACTTGGAAGCAACCAAGATGTCCTTCAGTAGGTGAATAAAGAGTGGTGGATGCAGACAATGGAATATTATTCAGCACTAAAAAGAAATGAGCTATCAAGACATGAAAGGACATAGAAGAAATTAATGGATATTACTAAATGAAAGAAGCCAATCTGAGAAAGCTATATACTTATGATTCCAACTACTATGACGTTCTGGAAAAGGCAAAACTATGGCGACAGTTAAAATATCAGAGGTTGCCAGGGGTTGGAGGGGGAGAGATGAAGAGGCAGAGCACAGAGAATTTTAAGTTAATAAAAATATTTTGTATGATACTATAATAGTAGATACATGTCATTATACATTTGTTCAAACTCACAGAATGTACACCAAGAGTGAACCCTAATGTAAACTATGGACTTTGGGTGATCATGATGTGTCAGTGTAGGTTCATCAATTGTGACAAATGTCCCACTCTGCTGGGGGATGTTGATAACGGGGAGGCTATACATGTGTGGGGGACAGAAGGAGTATGGGAAATTTGTGTACCTCCCTCCCAATTTTGCTGTGAACATAAAACTTCTCTAAAAATAGTAAAATCTTTCAAAAAAAAAAAGAGATTACTTTGATTACTGTGGTGAAAACATACTTTAAGTTAACAATGGGTAGAAACAAAGAGACCAGTCAGGGGCTATTGCTCTTGTCCAAGCAAGGAAGGTATGTAGCAATGCATTGACCGGAAGTGGTTAGAGTCTAGATGTCTCCTGGAGGCAGAGCCAGTAGGATTTCCTGACAATTGGAATGTGATTTGTAAGAGTCAAAGATGGCTCCAAAGATTTTGGCCTGAGCAACTGGAAGGGTAGTGTCGCCATCGACTGATATGGAAAAGACTGAGGGTAGAAATGTGTGGTAG